ACGATATTGCGCGTGATAATTGTTGTTAGTCGTCGTCGGAAATCGAAATTTCTCACAAACTAGTATATGATGCATAAAAAAACATTCACGCACAAAATATACTCAATAATAATACTACTACATATATCGGTAATCGTATCACTCGATCAGAGATATTTTAACCACAAAACCATAAGATAGCGTATCGTTTCTTCGTTGCATAGTGTGTAACCAGACAGAAAGTTATCGATCGATCACTATGTGGCGGGCCACCACATATTCGATACCGTTCAAATTCCAGCCAAGCATATTACGAGGTTGTATCTTTTGTGCATCCATTCCTCGCTATAAAAGTCCTCAGACATATACCTTTGTTCACCGATCATTAACATCCTTTTGGGAACAAAGAGATCCGATGAACGAAGGGGTCTGTCTCTTCCGTCTGGCGGAATCACGGTTAGTTTGTAATTGTTCCACGTCGCTGTCGTTACGTTCACCCACGCGCACGTATATGCATTTGTGATACGGTGTGCGTATGCATCCGTCACGAAACACGTGCGTATTACTTTTTCGACTTTATCGACCGAAAAAGTTCTTCATACGGTTACATAATATTTGTTGATATTCAACGAGTTATAATACCTATAAAAAGAATAAAGTAAAATAAAAAAATTAACTCAGATATTGAATGTTTGATAGCATAAAACAGTTATGGTAACGATTTGAGATTGCGAACCACTGTGTTAAAAGTAACTAGCGGTTTTTCAAGGTTCGATTTGCTCGTAAAGCCTATCGGTTCGTTTGCTATGCGATACACGATTCTCTATTCCTCTTCCCCTTTTCCTCTGTGTTTCATCTTTTGACTCGAGAATGCATAATCGCGCTATGATTCATAATACATTTAAAAACGTACATGCAATCATAATTTAATTTTATTGTATTAACAGTTATAATAGAAGGAATGAAATCAAGTTTATGTAAACTTTAAAAATCTACACTTTTTAAAAGAACTTGTTTATTTCAATCTAAAATGTCTAGATATATCTAGATGTATAACCTTGTTCTTAATGCCAATAATTTTTTTTGTATAATTATTTTGCATATCATATATTTATACGTACAATATGTTATTTAAAAAAAAATAATACGTATTGAAATTAAAAAGAATAAATTATTTTATTTATAATATTATAAATAATGAAGAATTTTTACATTCACTTTAATTCATGAAATTCTAAAGTATTATAGAGAACAACAGGAGGAATGTATGTGCAATATATTATTTCAGCTACAACGCAGCATCCTGCATTCTTATGCAATAGCTAGTTCATCAGTGAATCGTGCTTATTTTTCATAAAAGAATTTATTATTATTAATCAGTTTTCTATGAATTAATTAGATGATATCATTAAATAATATAATTATATAATACAATTGCAATGTTGATTAACTTTTTATTTATTAAATAATCTTAACGATTCAAAGTTTTTTACGAATTTAAAAGTTCAAATATTAAAGAAGTATAACTTTTCAATATTATCAATACTATCTACATGCATTTTTTAAAAGTATTAAATAATTAGAATTTTATATTTCATAAAATTTAAATATATTAAATAATTAAAAATGATTTAAGAAAATTAAATTAACCATGTGTTCTCAAGATATATAAGAATTTTTTTTATTAAGAATTTCCAGCGATTAATTTATCTTTCAATTTTTTTCAATTCGTGTGATTGAAAAACAAGAACTAAAAAATTATATCATATACTTACAATTATAAGTAAATATAATTGATTGGGATGAATTAGTTAAATTTAGAGCAAACGAAAAATGATTGTCTATGAAGAACTAATTTCATTAATTTTTTGTTTATTTCTTTTTTATTTATTACCTTTTATATTTATTACTGGTTAAATCTTGATATTCTTTTTCATTTTTTTTTTCTAATAAAGGAAAATTTTATGAAAATATAATTTAAATGTATATCAACAGATTTTCAGCTTTTAATTTAATTTCAAAATACAGTATAAGTATTATTTGCTGCTCTTTCTCATTCTAGATATACCAGATATTCCTGAGAACATCAAGAATTTACGGGCACTTCAGGTGGCGGATTTTAGTAGTAATCCTATTCCAAGGTCAATAAATTATTCTTTATTTTATTTTTCTTTATGAAAAATGTTTAAATTTTCTTTTAAAATATTATTTTTATTAGAAATATTAATTGAAGACTTAAAAAAAAGACAATTTATTCTTAACAGGCTTCCAGCAGGGTTTGTGCAATTAAGAAATTTAACTGTTTTGGGACTTAATGATATGTCTCTTACGAATCTACCGCCTGATTTCGGAAGGTAATGGTAACAACAACTTACTTTAATTGCTTTCAAACTTAAAATCGTAAATTATATTATGCCTAGTACTGAAGTTTGTGCATCGATTGTTCTTAGCTTAGAGGCGTTACAATCATTGGAGTTAAGGGAAAATTTGCTCAAGTCCTTGCCAGAATCGCTATCCCAACTTTATAAATTGGAGCGGCTAGATCTTGGTGACAATGACATTGAAGTTTTAGTAAGATAAATATTAAATTAAATCATTTTGAAAAATTATGAGTATACTAACTTGATATTTTTATTTTAGCCAGCACATATAGGAGAATTACCAGCATTACAAGAATTATGGCTGGATCATAATCAGTTACAACATTTACCACCAGAAATAGGGGAATTGAAAACATTAGTGTGCCTGGATGTATCTGAAAATCGCTTGGAAGATCTTCCAGAAGAAATAGGAGGTTTAGAGTCTTTGACGGATCTTCATTTATCGCAAAATGTTATTGAAAAATTACCCGATGGACTTGGAGAATTAAAGAAACTTACTATTCTCAAGGTCGATCAAAATAGGCTTTCTACTCTAAATCCAAATATAGGCAGGTGAGATTAATTTTTTTCTCTATAAAAATTTAAATATTTTAGAAAGAAATAAAATTAATGTATTCACTCATTATAGGTGTGAAAATTTACAAGAATTAATTCTTACGGAAAATTTTCTCTTAGAACTGCCTGTATCTATAGGAAAACTTCTTAATCTAAATAATTTAAATGTAGATAGGAATAGTTTGCAATCACTTCCTACGGAAACGGGTAAGAAATATTTTATTTCAAATAATCAAATATCAAAAATAAATTTTTTTGAGTTAAAAACACTTATTTTTTTTACAGGAAATTTAAAACAATTGGGTGTACTGTCCTTAAGAGATAATAAACTACAATATCTTCCAATCGAAGTTGGACAATGTACTGCTCTCCATGTATTGGATGTGTCTGGCAATAGGTATATAATTTTTTTATTTTAAATCTTAAATATCTTTTCAATATTTAAGATTAAGATAATTTTCAATATTTAAAAACATTTAATAAAGAAATTAATTTTTCAGATTACAATACTTGCCATATTCCTTAATCAATTTGAATTTGAAGGCAGTATGGTTAAGTAAAAATCAAGCACAACCAATGCTTACTTTTCAAACAGATGTTGATGAAGAAACTGGACAGGAAGTATTAACCTGTTTCCTTCTACCACAATTAGAAATTCATCCAG